CTTCCTGCCAACACAATTGCAAAAAACCGTGTCAATTTCTCAAATTACAATTTAATTGACATAGAAATTGGATTAAAATAATCAGATTTTAGAGGGTTTACGCCAAATTTAAAGTTTTTACAATAAAAATTTGTTCCTCAAATTGGTATGCGTAGAATTGAAGGCTTGCCTGGGAGATGCCATGGGTCGAACTTGTAGAGATCTAGCTCGGCAATGATCGGCACAGCAATTGGAAGTCCAGCGCACTTTCGGCACAGGTAGTGCACCACAAGCTCGTCGTCGGTCGGGTGGAATCGGAATCCCGGCGGCAGCTGCAGATCTCCGCCGTTCATTTCTACTCCCTTTTCTTTCTAGTTGGAAAAATTCCGGGACTTAACTTTTATTCTTCGATCTTATCTCTAATCTCTTCGCTATATCAGAGGACTCGAAGCTTGAAACTTAATAACCTAAGCGCAAGGCACGATTTATAGGCTCGCGATCGGATGGTGATGACATAGAGGAACTGACACGTGTTACCGGGGGCGGTGAATTTCCAGAAGCACACGTGGGCGTGACCGCACGCTTCCGTTTTTGCCGTACTCAGCTGGTCCACGTGGCAGTAAAGCACTGGCTGAGCGTGCCGATAAGCGATAAGCTCGCAACTGGGCTTGTGTCACGGCTTACGTCAAGGTTTTTGGATTGGGTTCTTTCGCCATCGCGGGCCCGCCGAGCGGCCCAACCCGCCGCTCCGGGCTCGGGCGCCCGCCACGAGGGCTGCCGGACTTCAACATGGGATGACATTAGCCGACTTTGGGAGACTTCACCAACACGTGGATTTTGACCGCGCGGGCTGTTTCGCGGAATTCCTGTGTGGGCCCCACTTGCAGGGGTCTCTGTGGATGCGCGTGAACTGTTTGGGAGTTGGGCTTTTGGCGTCCAACTTTCAACGATTATTTTAGACACGTGCGGAAAATGACGGGAAACTTTTGGCCGTTGATTTTGAGGGACAGTGAATCGTGCGGTGGGTGCTGGTTTTGTTTGTAGGAAGCGGCCGCATGTTATGGTGAAGGGGATGGAGTGTTGGGATTCGGATGGGCCGGGTTTTTGCAGCGGGAGATTCGTTTGGAGATGTGTAGGGTGGTGTCGGCAGCTGATTCGTCAGCATTATGTACTTATATTTTAATAACAGCTTTCAGAGTACGTAAATATTTAAGCATAAATGGTTTTGGACGCATGAAACAGAGAATGCTACAAGTGGCCGCTGCTTGTTTTCTTAATTCTATGTGTGTGTGTGAGAGAGAGAGAGAGAGAGAGAGACTTTAAAGCTTTATTTGCTCGTAGACAAGTGGCCGCTGCTTATTTTCTTAATTCTATGTGTGTGTGTGTGTGAGAGAGAGAGAGAGACTTTAAAGCTTTATTTGCTCGTAGAAGCTGGAATAGCTACAGCTGTTTTAAATAAACCCTTAAGCTCGACAAAAAAAAATCTCACCATTTCATTTTCATTTTGTTGACTTAATGTTCTGTGTGACAATCACATTCTACGAATAATGTATAAGACATGAGAGAGGGAGAGAGATACATGAAAGTGCACAATAATGCATAATAATTCAAATTGGTGATTGGTATGTACACTTAAAACGATTATCGTGTTTATAAAGTTCGAGGTACAATATATAAAATTACATATCTACTACTATTTTAATAGAGGCGATACAGGACATTTTAGACATTTTATATACATAAGACACTCTGACTCTATCGACTGAAATCAGTAAATTTTGGTTCACTCCACGTGGCGATACATTACTGGAAGTCCGCAGATAGAGCTACATAAGTATTCCGCATTGAAAAATTTCTCTTCATTTAGACACGTGTTTAGTCCCCATCCCATTTCATAAAAAAAGGGACAAAATGTAAACTTTTTTGTTTGGCTATATTTACATTTTTTTGGAAAGTGTTTCCCATGCATTCAAATGCTTCCTTTTCTGTTTCGAATTGATTTGCATAAAATGCATCCTCATTTTAAACAACAAAAATCATAAATGCATAGAAACCATAACATTTTAAAGTCTCTTAAATTCCATATGTGGATTAAAGTATATTCATTAAAAAAAAGGCTTGCGTCCGCAATGGCAGAATTTGAGAGGTTAGTTTTATTAAATATAATGCTCATCATTTAATTAAAAAAAAAATTAAAGCTGGCCCCCACAGCTCTGTGGATGAGGGCAGAATAAATGATAAGATTAACACGAACTAAAGCAAATAGTATGCATTCAAAAGTCTGCCTGCTTTCGTGTGATGTAGGGTTTCCGCGAACTTAGTTTTATTAAATAATTGTAAGATTTGTTTACTTACTGGCTTTTTTTTTTTAGAGGGAGAATTTGACGTGCAAGACCTGCGCCTTTTTAAGAGAAATTATGTCTCATGGAGATGGTATTTGGGGGTTATATCTTGGTTATGTAATATTTCTGTAACCTACTTGTAATCTATAAATATATAAAAATAGAAACGCGGAACTTAGTAGAAGGTACACAGAGGTTACAGGGAGTTTACTGCAGGTATAATAAGAAAGTATTCACTAATATCTTCTGAATAACTTCCCTGACGTACGCAAAAAGTACACAAATTTTTCTCGCCTTTTTTGGAAGGCATAGTCAGAAATTGTCTGCGTAATGCTTCAGATATAATTAGATGTGTCAAAAGTTATGCTTTTATTCTAGGCTAGCATTATTCAAAGTAGAGAACAGGTTCCAACTTTTACTGCCGTATTTAAGATGTTGCCGTTGTCCACGTGAATGAAATTTTATGATTATCTTTATTGAATAATCTTAGCAATCATGGCATCATCTGTTGATGAAATCATCTAATCGATTTAAAAGAAACGCACGTGACGGAATAATGAGTCTTTAAAGACTCTCTACCGCTAACTGCGTAGATAGATGAATAAGAAATTCGAATTCAATTATTGTAACATGTTGGATAAAAGTTTCTATTAAAAATGCATCGATGATTGATGATTTGGGAAGAGCTTAATGATGTAAGTGATGAGAAGTATTTATTAGAGTGAAAACCAAAATTTTAATAAACTTTCAAATGAAACACTTTGTGAGAATAGTTCTTAATGGAAATAATTTGCCTAGTTTCTTAAAAATTAAATTGTGATTTAAATTAGTCTCAAAAGCCATAGAGAGAGAGAGAGAGAGAGAGAGAGAGACAAAGCACAATTAAATTGTGTTTTAAATTAGTCTCAAAAGCCATAGAGAGAGACAGAGAGAGACAAAGCGGGAGTTATGAATTTTAGGGTGGGTAAAATCATTGCTCATAAGTGATCTTATTTGAGGTTGCTTACTTATCAAGTTATGCTCGGAGTGACCAAGTTTATGTCTAGAAATGATTGTTGATTAGCTGGTAAATATGCTTCTCACTTCTAAGAAAAAGTTTTGAATTTCTCTATCACCTCTGAAAAAGGAAGACTAATTTAGTGCTTTGAGTTAGCAAAGGAAAGCAAAGGAAAGAATGATGAAATTTCTTCAACGATAAACATAGAGTGATGGTGGTCGGTAGCAAGCTAAGATACAATGGGTTGCATTTCTTTCTCCCTAACAATATATATACGTAAATTATGCTAGCATGAATTTCATTGAGATCTGATGGTCTAGAAGATAGAGAATATGAAAGGGTGTACCAACCAGCAATAAACCTGGAGAACCCAGAAGCCCAACCAAATGAACTTGACTCAAAACCAACTGTTATAAGGATGCGTATGTGGCACGAGCCAAGGGGCTCACCACGTCACAAGACATGTTTTTGTTAACCTAACTTTTTTTGGAAATCAAACTTGAGGAAGGATCTAATTGTCTTAGTTCAATGATTGTATTAAAAAAAAACCTGTAGCCATCCCATCAAGTCCTCTTTGAATAAGAGAAGACTATATATCAGATTACGGTGATTCACTCTCTGTCTAATTTCCTAGTTTCGCTCTGCCGATAAAAGTTCTTCTGTGGAGACCAAGGGTCGAATGATCAAACTATACGAACCAACCAACAAGACTTAACCGATTAAATCAGTCCTATCAACCGCTCGACGAGTAGAACACCAGCTGACCAGCAACATATGTGGATATAGCTTACTGACAACACAAATCAAGTCGTTTTCTCCCCAACTTGGAATTCACCAAAACTTCAAAAACATAGCCCACAAACAACATCCCTCAGATCTAGTCGACTTGCAAGGCTCGTTGAAGTCTTACCAAGTCCACTTGGCCGAGCCAAAGAGTAGTGATCCGCCAGAGCGATTATAAAAATAATGTAGTCCTAGTAATGAGATCGAAAACTTGATCCATTCACTTGTAAATTAATTTATTAAAATTAGGTATTATTACTCATTAGGGTTTCTCGCACAAGTATACGCATCGTTTTAATAATATAGAGCTCTATTGAGTCTTGATTGTCGATCCCATAGGGATGTAGTTAACGAGTCCTTAATGCGAAGTTCTAGTCTACTACAAAAAAGGTCTTAGTTTGGAATGAAAATTAAAATTCCCTAACAATTACTCCTAAAATACAACACAAAATCTAAAGCTAAACCTAACTATATCAATTGGTTTGATGAATTTCAAGATATAAAAGCTACATTTGTCTTGTGATTGTCTAAATGGATTGTAGAATAAAATACCAAGAATTGCTAATATGACTAGTGACAAATAGAAGCATATATCATGTTTACCCTCTTTTGAGTGCGTAAAAAAGTTTAGTTTAACTTGGTAAGTGTTTCTGCCTGTCACCCTAGAAACCCCAATATTATATGCGATGTAAGTATCTTTCACTACTATAACACACACGACAACATAATTAGTAAATATGCAGATCAATCACAATAAAAATCACTTATGTATAAATAGTTTTATATTTTAAATTTTTTAAGGTGTCAAACCTAGTAATTCACAAATATATGTACGCTCAAGTAATAAATGACTCTAGAGTCCTAAGGATCGATCCCACAGGGAGGTGTAAATTTTTATGGTTATAACATAAAACAAAATATTCAAACTATAAAAATTTAAGTAAGAAAAACAAGTCAAAAGTAAATTTAATGCATGCTAATGAAACATAGCTAAAAGAACTAAGTTAACTAAGCTATTTTTTAAACTTTAAAGCAAAATTTATTGAGACTAAACAAAGTTTTGTAACTAAGAGTTTAAATTTAAGAAAACAACATTCCCCTTTATAATGAGTTTTTGGTTAGTGAAGTAATTAAAATCATTTAAAATTATATAAAATTATATTTTGCCTAATAGGAGCAATCATATTCTTTACCATCTGTCGAGTACATTAAGAACATTAGTTAATCCAGAGTTTGGTATGTAATATTTGTGGTTAGGCTGGGAGGATAATGACTCTCACTTCCCTCTTGACTGAGGGTTAACATCTCACTTTAGTTTC